AGAGAGACTGTAGGAGGCAGAGGAGCAGAAATAATAAAGCACAGGAGCATGTCAATAACATTACATCGTATTAGGCCACGGGAATCCATCTTCCTCCCCTGTCAGAGCCTTCATCTCATTCTGGGGTGGCCACACATACATTTTAATCAGCCATTTGGCCGCCCGGCTGACAAGCGCTCAACAATAGAAGGTGAAAGGGGGGCGAGGATAAATCACAGAGCTCTGGGTGCGTTTGAGGACTCCTGCCAGACCTGGATTTATTCCCGGATCCACAAAGAGATGACATCTTGCTTCTTTGCACGTGTAGAAATTGTCCACGAGCAACAATATTGTATGTAAAAGCAGGAAAGCGTGTTTTCTGCGAAGATTCCTGAGACGTTTGCTGGGTTTTCTGAAAGCAAATCCGGAAATTTAGCATCTTTTTCTGTGTTGTTGAGACTCCAGTTCATTTTATGTAACTAAATAATTCATCCAGTTGTTAGATGCAAAAAAAAAATAGTCACACAACCTAAATTACTTCTCCAACAAAGAACAAAACTAGAGAAAAAACATCATTTACTAAGTCCAAAACATGGACCAAATATACATTAAATATGGTCAACTAAGGACAAATCCTAAATATTAGTTTAGTTCAGTAACACTTAATGTGCGGTGTTTTCCCCAGAGCGGTTTGTTTTAGGAAAGAAGTCAACCTTTACATTATTTGTGGACTGAGACCGGTATAATGTGAGAAAAAGAGGCTGTGGAAATTCAGCGCTCGCGGATGTGGAAATTCAAATTCTGTTGCATTTCCCAATGGATCCCATTCTCAAACATCCCACACTTACACCTCGAGTGTTTCCATTTTGAAAGTACAGACTAAATACGAGTAAAACGGATAAAAATGAACTGCTTTATTCAATTGCTGTGTGAATATGTCAAGTTTCTCTAAATAAAGGGATATTTAGAGGGGTTAGTATCATTTTAGGGGGGCTGAAGCCTCCCTAAAACAGGCCTAATTATGCTATGAGTCTGAGTTTGGTCTGAACATTTTAAAAATGAGTAATTCTGCTCATTTTTTATTGCTTTGAGTTAAATTGGTTCTGCTTTTATGGTCTTTTTTCTACTTCTGTGTGATGGATGTCTCGGTTACAGTGGTAACACTCAGAAACGGGTATTTTTGTTCAATTATAGACAATTTATTGTCAAAGAGGTAAAAAAAACTTGTATGGCTTTTGACAGATGTTTTGAATATAAAAGAAGCTTGATAGCTTTAAATGGACTCGTTGAAATACCTGAAGATAAAATCGAAAAATTAATACTGGAAGCAAATCATGGTAATTAACTGGTGAAACATAGCTTTTTAACAGTTTTTTTTAACAGATAAATTCATGTTCTTTTAGCAAAAATACAGTGTAATGATTTATTCTTTAAATGTGTCTTTATTTTTACTTCGTGTCAACGAAATACTTCACCTTTCACGGCAAATGTTAGGAAATCAAATTTTCCTTGTGGTGACCTGAACGCATCACGGCTGTGATGACGGTTGGTTGCTGTTAAGCTAGCAGGGCGCCTCCAAACTGTGGAAATTTCTAGAAAATCAAACAAAAAAGCGGAATACAACCAGTCTGCGATTCGTAATAACCTTAAAGTTGACAAAAAATCATCAAAGAAAGCTGCCGAAACAAAAATAAAAAGATAAAGCGGCCGTTGGACGACAGAATGGAGGTACGTAGCTAATGTGCTAAAGCTAATTACTGATTAATTAATTTAAACTCATGACGTTTAAATTCTAACGGTTACAGTTTTGACATGTAGTTAGAAGGTGAAATAAGTAAAAACTGTACCAAATATGTGTTTAATCCTTATAGGATTTTGTTTAATTTGGTGTTTAATTGAACAGACTAAAGATCCTGAAGCTAAACAGCTTTAATATTAAATAATCTGAATTTTCAAACTCTTATAATTTCCAATAAATTATCAGATTAATAAACTTAAACAGAGCTGGTTGGATGTAGTTATGGCTCAGTTTCCCACTTAATTTATCTTTGTATCACACTGTAAATTGATTTAAAGTGATAAATGTGAGAAGATGAGTGATTATTTTTCTAATTTATGATAGAAATCAAGGATTATATGATCAAATAGTAGCTTTAAAATATAAATGAGATTGTTCAGACCTAGCTTTTTGGCGTTATTGTGGTTATTCAGCATATTTAGAGGACTTGTTGAAATTATTTGAGGTTTTAAGGAAACCAGAATAGTTTATTTTGCTTGAGACATGATGGATTTGTCGTGTTTTGAACTAAACTTGTGTCCTGTAACTAGTAAGGCTTTATTTCTTTATATTAGGCCATTTTAATGTGCTGTATAAGGTATTTATCATGATTTAAAGAAACACTGCAACGCCCTTTAAATGCATTATTGTTGGCTCTTTGTTTGTCTTGTGGCTGTTTAGGTAAATAGCTCAGTTCTGGGTCTTTTACTGACTAATTTAAGTGCTTTTTAAGTGATATTTTGCTATTTTTCTGCATCACGTAGCAGAAATTGACCACAAGCAAACGTTTTTTACTCTAATTTAAGTGCTTTTTAAGTGATATTTTCTATTTTTTGTGTCTCGCAGCAGAAAATGACCACAAACAGACGTTTTAGACGTTTTAAGACGTTTAGTACCATTTTTATGTTTCTCTGGCTGTTTAGGTAAATCCTTGAGTTCTTTAACGACTAATTTAAGTGATATGTTGCTATTTTTCTGCGTTACGCAGCAGAAAATGACCACACACAGACACTTTTGACTCCTCTGAGGTTTTAAATTTTCCACAGTCAGCCAAATATGGCAGTTTTTAGGTTTTCCTTCGTCTGTTTTTGTGAAAAACGCGGATGCGGGCTTTTATTTTCCTGCATAAATCGTGCCTAAATGCCTCAGAAAGCTGAATCAGTATGGATGAATATTAGTCCATTTTAATGTGCTGTATTTACCATGATTTAAAGAAACACTCTAATGCCCTTTAAATGAATCATTGTTGGCTCTGTGTTTGTCTTGTGGCTGTTTAGGTACATATCTGAGTTCTGGGTCATTTACTGACTAATTTAAGTGCTTTTTAAGTGATATTTTGCAATTTTTCTGCATCACGCGGCAGAAAATGACCACAAGTAGACGTTTTTGGCGTTTTAAATTCTTAAAAATAAGCCAAAAATTGCAGTTTTTTATGGTTCTCTTTGTCCGTTTTTGTGGAAAAACGAGGAGGAAGCTGTTATTTTCCTACCTAAATGCCTGATAAAGCTGAGTGTGGCTTTTTGGTGTGGATGAGTCCTGATGGATGCCCATTACCCCGGGTGCATTTACCATGATTTAAATAAACACTCCAATGCTCTTTAAATGAATCATTGTTGGCTCTGTGTTTGTCTTGTGGTAAATATCTGAGTTCTGAGTCCTTTAATGACTAATTTAAGTAATTTGTAAGTGATATTTAAGTCATTTTAAAGACATATTTTGCTATTTTTCTGCATTACGCAGCAGAAAATGACCACAAGTAGACGTTTTGACGTTTTAAATTCTTCAAAATCAGCCAAAAATTTCCATTTTTATGTTTCTCTCTGCCCGTTTTTTGTGGGAAAAGCTTTTATTTTCCAGCATAAATGGTACCTAAATGCCTGATAAAGCTGAGTGTGGCTGTTCGGTGTGGATGAGTCCTGATGGATGCCCATTACCCCGGGCCTGACCCTAGCAGCTCAGTTCATTACGGCGGCCACCCGAGTGTTCGGGACTCCAGTCCAGATTTAATCACCGCCTCCAGCCTCGTGCCAATCACAATTAGATCCTGATAAGCCTCTCTGGGCCCCCCCCCCCGATCGGCCAGAGGTTAATTTGCGAGCAGCGAGGGCCCGCCTGAGAGGTCAAAGGTCGTCTGATTGAATACACGGATGTGGAAGACGGTTTGGGCTTTGGCAGCAATTACTGAGCTCATCAGTATTCGTGTGTTCATCCACTAATGGCTGAATCAGGAGGAGGAGAAACGGTCGGGACGATTTATTCTGGCCCCAAAAAATGTTTCGGCTCAGTAAAAGAATTTCAGCCCCCCTAGAGTATTTTTTTAAATTATTTTTCTAATTAAAAATACATTTAGATTTATTAAAAATAATTTAATTAATAATTTGTATTAAGAATTTAACATTTTTTTTATAATTTTTATTTGTTTTTTATTTATTTATTTAATTTAATTTATTTTTTTACTAAATTCAGGAATCAGTATATGTTTTTTTACTGGTTCTTAAAATGAGCCATACATGAACATCAATTTTCTCAGAGAACAAAACCAACACAGACTCACAACTAATTACCCTTTTACTTTATTCTGGCCCCCAAAAAATATTTTGGCTCAGTAAAAGAATTTCAGCTCCCCCAAAATATTTTTAAAAACTTTTTTTCTATATAAAAATATAGTTAGATTTGTAAAAAAATAATTGTATTAATAACTTTTTCAATTGTTTTAAGAATTTACATTTTTTAAATAACTTTTTAAAAATTTTTATTTAATTTATTTTGTCTCGTTTAAATAAATTAGGATTTTCTTGAAAGAATTTAAAACTTTTTAATAACTCTTTTATTTTTAATTTAATTCATTTCTGTCGTTTAAATAAATTTGGATTTTTTAAAAAGAATGTAAAATTTTTTAATAAATAAAACATATGCTCTGATGGCGTAACACCATGCTAACGGCGTGCTAACACCATGCTAACGGCGTGCCTCCCCCCGACGGCGTGCTAACACCATGCTGGCATGCTAACACTGTGCTAACGGTGTGCTAACACCATGCTAACACCGTGCTAACGGCGTGCTCTGTCTCTGATGGCGTCTCTGATGGCGTGCTGATGCTCTGATGGCGTGCTAACACTGTGCTAACACCATGCTAACAGCGTTTTCTCCCCCTAACACCGTGCTAACACCATGCTAACACCGTGCTAACGGCGTGCTCTGCCCCTGATTGCGTGTTGATGACTCTTGACAGCCTGTTAACACCATGCTAATGGCGTGCCAACACCATGTTAACACCGTGCTAACACCATGCTAACACCATGCTAACGGCTCCTCTCCCCCTGATGGCGTCTCTAATGGCGTGCTGATGCTCTGATGGCGTGCTAATGCTAACACCATGCTAAGACCGTGCTAACACCATGCTAACACCATGCTAACGTGCTAACTGCTCCTCTCCCCCAGGCCGGCTGGCGGCGGGCAGCTGTGAGATCGTGACTCTGGACCGCGACAGCAGCGAGCCGCGGCGGACCGTCGCCCGCCAGACGGCGCGCTGCGCCTGCAGGAGGGGCCAGATCGCAGGGACGCGCCGCGCCCGCCCGGCCTGCGTGGACGGTAAGGGGGCGGGGCCTAAGGGGGCGGGGCCTAGGGGGAGGGGCCTAAAGGGGAGGGGCCTAACGGGGCGGGGCCTAAGGGCTGCTGCCAAGCCTGAAACATGCAGTTTTTAGGAGATTTCTAGAGGTTTTCCACCTGTTGTTGTTTTGTAGCTTTGAAGCTTTGTATGTTTGCTGTTTTGTAGCTTTG